GTCTTGTGTCTTAAGCTCATCCAGAGTGTTGGGTCTTGTGTCTTAAGCTCATCCAGAGTGTTGGGTCTTGTGTCTTAAGCTCATCCAGAGTTTTGGGTCTTGTGTCTTAAGCTCATCCAGAGTGTTGGGTCTTGTGTCTTAAGCTCATCCAGAGTTTTGGGTCTTGCATCTCTCAACGTTCTCTTCACAATATCCCACAGATTCTCTCTGGGGTTCAGGTCAGGAGAGTTGGCAGGCCAATTGAGCRCAGTAATACCATGGTCAGTAAACTATTTACCAGTGGTTTTGGCACTGTGAGCAGGTGCCAGGTCRTGCTGAAAAATGAAATCTTCATCTCCATAAAGCTTTTCAGCAGATGGAAGTATGAAGTGCTCAAAAATCTCCTGATAGCTAGCTGCATTGACCCGGCCCTTGATAAAACACAGTGGACCAACACTAAGCAGCTGACATGGCACCCCAGACCATCACTGACTGACAACTCTTCTCGTTGTGCAGCGCTTTCTGCCACTCTTTTTCCTTCCCACAGAGTGCTGTATAAAGGCACCTCAGTGGGAAATCTGATGGGAACACGTGTTGCAGTGGAAATGCTGTGACGTGCTTTCATAAATATAATGTATCATATATAATGCTTCTTGGAAAACAGCAGTCGAAACGCTGAGAGCTTTTACCTGCCATCTGATTTAAGGCTACCACTGCACACACATGCTGTCAATGCTGAGAGTCTGAACTACAGGATGGGCCATTTATGTGGATACATCTAAATAAAATGGGAAGGGTCGGTGATATTAACTTCCTGTTTGTGGCACATTAGTATTTGGGAGGGGGGAAACTTTTCAAGATGGTTGGTGACCATGGTGGCCATTTTGAAGTCGGCCATGTTGGATCCAACTTTAGTTTTTTCAATGGGAAGAGGGTCATGTGACACATCATACTTATTGAGAATTTCACAAGAAAAACAATGGTATGCTTGGTTTTAATGCAACTTTATTTTTTCATGAGTTATTTAAAAAGTTACTGATCACTTATAAAATGTATTCAAAGTGCTGCCCATTTTGTTGGATTGTCAATGCAACCCTCTTCTCCCACTCTTCACACACTGATAGCAATACCACAGAAGAAACGCTAAAACAGGTTTCCAGTGTCCATTGTTTCAGGTGTTGCACATCTCGTGTCTTCACAGCATAGACAATTGCCTTCAGATGACCCCAAAGATAAAAGTGTAAGGGGGTCAGATCGAGAGACCTTGGGACCATTCCACTTTCCAGGAAACTGTTCATCTAGGAATGCTCATACCTGACACCCATAATGTAGGGGTGCACCATCTTGCTGGAAAAACTCAGAGAACGTGCCATCAGTACATAAAGAGGAAAACACATAATCATGTAACAATTTCACATATCCAGTGGCCTTGAGGTTTCCATTGATGAAGAATGGCCCCACTATCTTTGTACCCCATATACCACACTATACCATCAAGTTTTGTGTTCCAACAGTCTTGGAGGGATCCATCCAATGTGGTTTAGTGTCAGACCAATAATGGTGGTTTTGTTTAGCTTCACCATTCACATAAGAGTTTGCCTCACCACTGAACAAAATGTTCTGTTTAAACTGAGGTCCTGTTCCAATTTTTGTTTAGCCCATTCTGAAAATTCAGTGCATCGATCTGGGTCTTTCTCATTGAGATGCTGCTGCAGCTGGAGTTTGTAAGGGTACCATTTGTGAGTAGCTAATATCTGCCGAAGGGATGTTTGACTGATGCCACTCTCCATTGACATGCGGCGAGTGCTACGCTGTGGGCTCTTGCTGAATGAAGCTAGCACAGCCACTGATTTTTATTTCATTAGTGACTGTTTTCATGCATCCACATTTTGGCAAATCCAACACTGAATCTGTTTCACAAAACTTGGCAAGCAGTTTGCTAGCTGTAGCATGGGATGGGTGGTCTCATAGGATGTCTTGCATTGAAATCTGCTACAATGACCCGGGTACTGCATTCACCAGACATCAGCACAATTTCCATCCGCTCCTCAAGTGTTAACCTCTGTGACATATCAATGGTTGTAAACAATGAGATACTTGTAAATAACTCATGAAAACAATAAAGTTGCATTAAAACCAAGCATACCATTGTTATTCTTGTGAAATTCTCAATAAGTTTGATGTGTCACATGACCCTCTTCTCATTGAAAAAACTAAAGTTGGATCCAAAAATGGCCAACTTCAAAATGGCCACCATGGTCACCACCCATTTTGAAAAGTTTCCCCCTCCCAAATACTAATGTGCCACAATCAGGAAGTTAAAATCACCAACCATTCCCATTTTATTTAGGTGTATCCACATAAATGGCTCATCTTGTACAACTGCATCTGAATTGTTTTGTTCAAAATTCATTATGGTAATGTACAGAACCAAAATTCAGAAAATGTTGTCTCTGTCCAAATAGATATGGACTTAACTGTATATTCAAATGTGAATGCCCATGCAAAAAGTAAAATAATCAGATCTGAGGAAAAAATTGGGGTTGAGCTTTAAGACTTGAGCTTTAAAAAGTCTTAATATCAAATTCCTGCTTTCCACCTCAGCCTTAGTGTGCAATCATAATTCACACTTTGCTACTTTCCTTTTTTTTTGGATCTACCAGAAGCACCTGTTTCATATGTGGACCCGTGGTTGCAGCGGCAGCACTACGACTGTCTCAGATCCAGACTTTGACTCAGATTGCTATCTGGCGATTTGGGGTGTTAACGTCTATCATTATCGGTGGTCAGTTTCATCAGAGAGTTTGCAGCAGTGTTAACTCATCACCTTGCACTTCTGGGTCTTTTGAATAGACAGGAAGTGTCAACTGTGGAGTTAGACGTCCAGACGTACAGAGCCTGTTCTGCAGTCACTGAGTTGGGCCTGTCTCCTACATTGTATCATCTTCAGCAAGAAGAGTCCCATCATTTTCCTAACATACCCGAGCCTCCTGCAAGTCAACATTCCAACAACCTGCAGCCCATGGATTTCCGGTTTCCTCGTCCTAACCAACTTCCCGATGAGCTAGAATCTGTTCTGTCTGTACAAGGCAGGAGAGACATGGATCATCGCCAAATGGACCATATAAATCAACCAAATCAACTCCAGAACCCAGGCTTGGGTTCAGGGATCGGCCAACACAGAGACTTTGGTTCCAAATCTGTATCTCTCCCTGCTGATAATCAGTCTGTACACCAGCAAGGAGTCAACTGGTCAAACTATCAGCCCCCAACCAAACTGTTTGCCAGTCCCCTCCCTGCTGATAATCAGTCTGTACTCCAGCAAGGAGTCAACTGGTCAAACTATCAGTCTCCAACCAAACTGTTTGCCAGTCATTTGCCATCTACTGGCCACCAGGGAGCACAACTTCAGAACCAGAATAGCCAAACAGGAGCAAGTGTACTGAACTGGAAACCATCTGCAGGGAACTTTCCATCACCCCAAACCCAGCAGTCTCATGCTACTGGAAGTGGGGGAGAAGGTCAAACTTTGTATACACCAGAGAGTGCAGGAAGCATCTTGGCTAGTTTTGGACTTTCAAATGAGGACTTGGAAGTGTTGAGTCATTACCCCGATGATCAGCTAACTCCAGATACTTTACCATTCATACTCCGTGACATCCAGATCAACAAATCAGGCCTGCAGAAACCAATGGCTTCCACTTCCTTGACGTTTTCTCATAACATCCATGATAGGGCAGTGCTTTCGCCACCTTCTCTAGAGGCTCCCAGCATTCTGACTGTTACACAGACTGCTGGTAAAGTTATTGATTACGGTCATGCCAGTCAAGCAAAAAGTGACTGCAAGCCGAAAGCGACTTTTAAAAGAGAGCCACTTCCCAGTGGTGGGACAGTAAAAATGTATCGAGCAGCATCATCGGCAGCAGTCACAAAGGTGGAGAAAACCAAAAAAAGACGAGTTTTAGAGCACAAGGAGCCAAGCCAAGATGAAGACTATCGCAGGTCAAGCAGTGAAACCAACAGAAATGAGGATTATCCCAGGAGCCGAGAAAAGCACAGGGATGAAGACTATCACTGGACAAACAAAGAAAAGCACAGAGATGAAGACTATCGCAGGACAAGTGGAGAAAAACACAGAGATAAAGACTATCTCAGGATGAGCAGAGAAAAGTACGGAGATGAGGACTATCGCAGGATGAGCAGAGAAAAGCACGTAGACRAGGACTATCGCAGGATGAGCAGAGAAAGTCACGGAGACGAGGACTATCGTAGGACGAGCAGAGAAAAGCATGGAGACGAGGACTATCTCAGAAAAAGCAGAGAGAAATGCAGGAGTCACTCACCAGGAAGAGAATTTGCATCTTTGCCAAAATGTCATCATCTAGACAGAGACTACAGACACATGGAGTCCAAACTGAGAAGTGAGGGTTTTTCAAAACTTCCTTTGTCCTCATCTGAATCAAGACCACATGGCAGCAGCAGGAAGTTACCAACCCCCACCATGAAAAGTGATTATGCTGCTGTGTCTCCAAAAGTGTATCCCCATACCTGCTCCCTGTGCAACGTAAAGACTGATCAGGAAAAGGTGAGTGCTATCATGTCCTTGTACTTAAAAAAAGGCTTGACTAAGATTTTTTTTCCAGGCATTTGTTCATGATTTGATTCATTTAGTTGATAATTACTTTTTTCATTCAAACTAGTTGGTCTCTTTTAATATACAGTTTAAACCAGATGTATACATTCACTGTGTAAAATGCACAGCAATTTGTCCCTTCTGTCTGACATTAAATCAGAATAAACCTTTCTTGTTTTAGGTCAAGTCGGATTTTCAAAATGATTTATATTAACTACCCCCCCAACCCAAAAAAAAAAGATTTAAAAATTTAGAAACATTTAATTTTTGGTAACATTGTCTTTGGCTGGGTAAAACTTTTTAGGTATGCTTTCACAAGCTTCAAATAGTAGTTTTCTTGAATTTGTTCCCATTCTTCCTGGCAGAACTGGTCTAACTGAGTCAGGTTTGTAGGCTGCCTTGTTTGCACGTCTTTGAAGTGAACCAGTTCATCCTGCCATAAAACATCCTTACAGCAGGATGCTGCCACCTACATTTGTCATCATTGGGATGGTGTTCTCTGAATTGAAGTTTCCTCCAGTTGTAATGATAGTCATTATGGCCAAACAATTTTATTTTAGTTTCATCAAACTACAGCATGTCTCCAAAAACAAAATCGGGCTTTTTTATGTTTCTTTTAGAGTAAGGGTTTATTCTATGCAAAGTGTCCTTTCAGCCCATGTCAGTCCAGAACTTGTTTCTCCATGGATAATGACTCTCTGACCAGCTTCAGAAGCAGGAAATTGTACCTGAGGATAAACCAGAGTTGTAAAGTTCAAAAATTCTCTTACTTATATTTTGGCTGATTTCTTTTGGTTTTCTCATTATGTCACAGAAAAATGCAGTGTGTTTGAGATGGGCCTTAAAATACATCCACAGGTGGGACTCCAATTAATTCATATAATGTCAACTAACCAATCAAAGGTTTCCAGAACCATGACATCATCTGGTCTTCCCCAAATCATTTAAAGGGATGGTAATCTTAGTTTGTGTTAACTTGTGACCCAGAACAGGAAAGCAGTGGTGGGCAGCGCTAATTCAAAAGTTAGTTCCGCAAATTTTAAACCGCTAGTTATTTTCKTTAGTTCTGCATGTTCTAAAGCGCACATGTCATAAATAATTTAGCGGAAGCTAAATAGTTCCGCAACATTGGCTCAGTTCACCAGAAAATATATTTCCAGTAATAACATAAGCCTTTCTTTCACAATGTTGCCATATTGTAGCAGAATAGATTGATCTCAACCCAATTTACATCTTCTCGCGGTTTGAGGAAGTCATTTATACAAACAAGACGTTTGATTCATGGTGTTAATTTAAAATAAAAAAGTTRTTGTGGACTGCAAGTTCTGCTGCTTCTTGGTCATTTATTTTTCTTATGTTTATGGCATCGGTAAGAAAGCATATATTAGTCATTTTAAACTGTTTCTTGGAGAGCTGAAGCAATGCATTCTGGGTAAAGGACCAAGTGGAACCCGTCATTTCAAAATAAGAGCCTGAATTTAAACTGTGCCATGYGTTGCTTGCTTCAATACGACATGACGTGAGACAACGGGTTGATGGATGAAGATCCAGCATGTCATAAATTATTATAATTCCTCCCTCCACCCTCTCAAAGCTAAAATAAGTATACAAACAACAATAATTATGGGTGGATTGTTGGGGAAACTTTTTTTTTTTTGTTAACGGTGGGTTCTAGAAAAAAAGACGTGAAAATTATTTGAATAGGAATAAACCAGCTGTAGCTCTTTTAACAACTGGCTCTGACAAAAAAAAATTAAACAAATAAATAACATGAATTAAAAGCTGCTGCTGCCTTATCTCAAGCATCCCTCGCTGTGTGTGTGTGATTATGGGCAGACGTAGGGTCTACACAGCGCCGTTGTGTTGAGAAAAAAAACTGCTCTGTCTTTTATTTACTGTATTTAGTGCCACAATGTTTTTTTAAAATATAAATACTTGTACAACCCGTGGCCGGCCAGTTTTGCTTCATTTCTGCGCTGATCAGCTGGAAGAAGCAGCTTTTTTTYCCCCAACCGACTGACGTCAAACGCGCTGCTTCTTCCCGGGCCGGAACCATCAATAAACTGCAGGATTGAGCGTTTCATGTGTGGTTGGAACCTGGAGACACACTTCAGCTGAATCTCTTATCAGAACCTCACGATTAGAACCACAGACAGCAGGCGAAGGGCGAGTTTCCTGCAATACGTCCCACCACCACGCAAAGCATTTTGGGAGGTGTGGTGT